CTGTGTATCTGTATGCCCTGGACTGTTTCACATGCCTCTCAACCTCCGTGGACAAGGATGGCACAGAGGACACTCATAAACATGTGAGTTCTCCTAATGCCTAGGCTTGGAACTGACACCCCTTTTTTCTGTCTACATTCTTTTGGCCAAAACAAGTCAAATGGCAAAGCTCAAGTTCAAAGAACAGGGAAATACCTCCCACTCCCAATGAAGCAAAGACAAAGGTAAAGATGCTAGGAGCGTGAAGAATTGAAACCAATAATCAATCTATCATAATGACCTTATGATTTCCTGTGTCAGTATGAGAAACAGATAGAAATAGAGCAGAAACTGCACTTGTTCAGCTATCCATTTTGCTATATTGAAGGCCCTGGCTCCATGTGTAAGATGGTCATTTGGGAAGTTTATATATAGGAATTAAAAAGAGGATGGACTAAACATGTGTGAGCATATAACCTCTAAGGCAGTACTTTCCTAATTGTGTTTAGCAACATTATGGGGTGTGAATCCCACTAATGAAAAATAGGAAATATCAGAGTGAATTAATTGAACGAGGTAAGGGTATTTTTAAATGAAAACATTTGCTCCTGTCACGGATGCACACCTACATGTGTATTGAGTCATATTATAAAAGGCATTTCTTCCTGGTGGTTAAAAAAGTTTGAAAGCCACTGTTTTAAATTAGTTTCTAACTATAAGATGTCATTGAGTCTAGGGCATGCTCCTTTTTAGAAATATTTCTTTTTAGAAATGGTACAAGTCATCTGATTTGAAAAATGAACAATTTTTCTAGTGCTAGTTGCTTCCTTTGTACCAGTGTCTAATACAGGAGCAGTTTCTTTTCAAATCCATCAGCAATTAAGGCAGTTTTAATGGACAGGTGCTTCCATTTATATGCTGTTAACACCCATGACTGTGGTGACCGGTGGCTCATGCTTGAGATTATTTTTAAAGTATTTACCTTCTCCATTTAGCTTGCTCACTGCTAGCTTCCTGATGCTGGTTTAGAATAAAAGCACCTCCCAGGTATATTTCTCAATAATACTGTTACCTTGTGTCAGAAAGATTTATTATCAGCTTATCTTTTTCAGATTTCAATGTTTGCGTCATGCTGTCTGTTCGCTGTGGCCTATCTTAGAGCAGCAGTGGCTCCGGCCAGCAGCAGCTGTGCGGCCTCCTCCCAAAGGCAGCGTTTCTGCTGTCGGCTCATCCGCTTGCTCTGTTCACTCACCTGAGCAGGTAGGTCTGAATGCACTCACCCGACAGCCACGCAAACTGCAAAGACAGGGAGAATAAGACTTATCACCGGTTTGGTACTTATTCATATATTAATTTTAGGATTATTTAATGCGAAGACTAACAAAGGTTCTTTAAGTTTAGTTAGTTAATACCTGCTTTAGTAAGAGAAGCTAAAAAATAGTTAAATATTTTAAATAGCTTGCTTTACACATGCTTTTTAAGATGTCAGACTTTTATGAAAACTTTACCTATGGAAAGTTGGGAAATTTGGTAAGCTGAAATATGATTTTTTAAAAAAAAATTATCTTTATTGTTGAAAGTATTGCAGATGTCCCCTTTTGAAATATGATTTTTAAAACCTCCTTTTCTTGTACATTAAAAAGGAAATTCCATGTTGTGTACTTGGCTAGTTTTAACATAATAAAAGGAGTCTTCCTAGAGATTTTTGTAGGTTTTGAAATTAAAATGTATCGTGTTGTTCCTATATACTAAATTACAAAACTAAAATCTGGTTTGCACAACTATTATTTGGTAATAATCTTGGCACATTTCTGAATGACTTCACATGTTAGTGTGCGTGTGTCTATACATGCCACATATTAGATGAATTAACTTAAGAATCTTTCAGTTACGATTATTGAAATCTGATACGTATTATCTTATACATGTACACATAGCAGAAACACGTTCAGGTAGAGTCTATTGACCTCAATATTGCTGTAGATTGTTTCCCTCTTATCTATGGGACTATGGTGATGAATAAGCAAACAGGTGGATTTTACCACGCTTCCTGTTTCTTCAGGATGGAAGCAGTTTGCTTCCAGTGATGTCTTACCTCGAGAATCATGACCTAAACATTTGGAAATTCTGTTTTCCCTGCTTCTTGTCTCTTTCTTTCTCTTAAAACAAGTATTTTTTAAAAATATGCTTAGTATTTTAATAAAAATTATTGGATAAATTTCAGAGCTACAAACATATTTTAGGAATAAAATTATTATCAAGTCCTAATTTGTTTCCAAATTTATAGGGTAGAACAAATTTGTGTGGGTTTAGCTCAGAAATTTAGCAAAAGTATGATTTTAATATGAAGGTAAAAGTAACTCATAGAAAGAATTATATAAGCAAAAGAAGCACAAATAATATAAGTATATTAATAATTATTTAACAATACTTTTTAAAAGTTTCACTTGAAACTTAATTCATATACAATACAATTGATTTTATTAAATATATTTTTTCTGATTATGAAAGTGAAACATTCTCATAGTAGAAAATGTGGAAAATGTAGAAATGATAGAGAAGAAAGCAAAACTCACACATTATTTCACCACCCAGGAAAAATTATTGCAAAAATTTGATATTATCTTTGTTGTAATTTTTTGTTTTAATCTCAGCATCTCTGAGTAAACAATATTGGGAATTTGGAGCATGCCATTCCATACCTATTTTCTATGTGTGTATGTGTGTTTGTGTGTTGCTAGAGAACTTTACAAAATTAAATTTTTGCTAGGCATCATGCGATCTAGTTGGGAAGTTGAACTCACAAGCCCCTCACCAACCCTGATAACAACTGGGATTTAGTGAGATAGTCGAGAATTTAAATTCCAGGTTAAAATTTAGTGTTTTGTCAAAAATGTATTATTTTTATTTCAAAAATCCTTATTTAGCAAGCATTGCATCGTGTCATATTATTATAATCATTTTTTAATTTAAACTAAAATTTTAATTCACTAATGTTCCTTTTATTCACCTCTTACTATCTAAAAAACTTTGGTTTGATTTTTTTTATTGTTAGAGTATTTCCTAGCGTTTCTCAGAAGATGGTCATCAATATATATTTGTTGCCTTTCTTTTACCTTCATTTGGTTACTGTTTGGCTAAATGTAGGATTGTTGAATTGCCATACAATTTCCTTAATTGTTTCTAAGCTCCTTAGAGCCCCTGGCTTCCATAATTACAGATGCAAAGTCCTATGCTAACCTGACCATCTTTCCTTTTTACTTTTTAAACTGCCATATTGAGGCATAATTGATATGCAAAGAACTGCCCTTATTTAATGTGTACAATGTGAGGAGTTGGACCTATGCAAACACCACCACCACCACAATCAAGGAATTTATATCCAGATGCCTATGAGGATTTATCCTTTATCTTTGGAATTTAGAGCCAGGCAAAGTGTATGTACCCACATTTTTATTGACCCCAAGGAGAACAGAAATGAGCTAATGAATTCCTCAGTTCATTTGTTCATTCAATCCATCTTTTATTCAGTTTTGAATGTTCTAGACATTTTCCAGGCCCTGGGGCTATAGCAGTGAATAAAAGACAGTTCATTTTCTTATAACTTACTACCTCTGTTTAATTTTTATCGTATTGTTTTTTTTCTTGTTCCCCTTTCTCCTCTCCTTTCCCTCTGCCTATAGTGACACTCAAGAACGCATCTTTTTATATTAATTTAAACATGTGTGTATTCTTGAAAAAGCTTTGTGATGTTTCTTATACATTCCTTTAATATGCCCTTAACATTCCCAATGGATGTTTACTTATTTGATTAACACACATATAAGGTGCTATTTTACAAATATTAACTTATTCCAGCCTCAGAAAAGCCCAGGAAATAGATTATTTTTCCACATGAGAAAACTACAGCCTCAAGAGGTTGGGCAGCATGTCCAAGGCTGCAGAATTAGTGAATGACCAAGCCCAGACTTGAACAGAGGCAGCTGGGCACAACAGGCCATACTGCTCAGCACACAGCTCCAACCTCCCAAGTTCAAAACTGAGCTCCTGACTTCCTCCTGCTTCTTGTCCTTCTCCAACCACCATCTTTCCCATCTCAGTAAGTGGGACCGCCACTGTACAAGCTGTTCAAACCAAAAGCCTTGCTATTTCCCTCGACAACTTTCTGCCAACCCACGTTCAATCTATCGTCAAAATCCAGCCTGCTGTATATCAGAACATATCCCACCTTGACCGCCACGCTCCACGGTCACAGCTGCTGCCCTGGCCCAAACCACCATCTTCACCCCTAGGCCTTGGCTTCCTCATCTTCGCTTCACTTTTGTCCTTGCCTTCAGCCTCTGTTCTCAACACAGCAGACACAATGAATCCGTTAAAATGGGTCAGATCATGTGGCTGGATTCAAAGAGCTTTGGTACCTTCCCTTTTCACACAAAGGCAAAACTAAAATTCTTACTGTGGCTTCTAAGGCCTTATTCAGTGCAGCCTTGTGCAGCGTCTCTGGCGTCCCCATCTATTTTTCTCTGTGTTGCTCGCTTTGCTCCAACCACACTAACTGTGCTATTTTGCAAACACACTAGGCATGCTCCCACTTCAGAACCGGTGCTCTCTGTACCCTCTAGCTCAGTGGTTCCCAACCTTTTTTTTGGCCATGCCCCACCTAAACATCTCTCAAATCCTGATGCCTGCTCCCTGTGACATATGATTCTTATTATTCAAAAAGTGAACTATTCACGTGAAGGAAGCCTAAAAGGCCATTAACTTGGTCTAAACAAGCTTCCAAAAACATGGCATCCATGAAAGAGAAAATAAAAGAATGAAAGAACAGTTGAAGTACTGAGGAAGAAATCACTAAGAAATTGTTTGAAATAATAACAATAATATGAAAAAAGCAAATAAAGTTTCAAAACATATAATAGAGAAATGAAATGCATAAATATGTCACAATATATATTTATATACTGTATATGATGCCCCTAGAAACATAAGAAATGCAAAAAATTCACTGTTAATAACTCATTCTGGAATTGACCCCCTTAAAAATTAAATTGTCCCCCTGTGGGGCATGTGCCCCACGTTGGGAACCACTGCTCTAGCTGGATGGCACTTCCTCCAGATACCCACGTGGTTAGCTCCTCACTTTCTTTAGGTCAAATTCAAAGTCATCTTCTTTTAGTCTTCCTTGGCTACCTTATTATTGGATCATTTATGTGGACAAAAAAAAATCATTAAGAATTTGTCAAGGGTAGCCTTGGAGAAAGTGACAGGTGTTCAGAAGCTAACATCTCCAAGAAATAAAGAGAAATGATGTGGGAATCCATAGATGTCTGTAGCAGGAGGAGATATAGTTTGAATACAGAACTTCAAAGCTTGCAGATGGTGGAGTTTAGAAAGGCAGGAAGAACAATGATCTGCAATGACAATGAGAACCAGAGGACACTTACTCTTCCTCCAGGCCCTGGAGTGTAAAGGGGTTCTAGCGATGCAGGAGATAAATCTGTTACCTTTGGCAGAGCACAGGGGATAAAGTATTTGGCAGAGCACAAGGACTGAAGTATTATCAGAGGAGACACAATTGTCGTTAGAACCAAGTGAGGAAAGAATAGAGAAAAGAGATGAGGAAGTAGAGTGATGACCATGAGCTCCAAAGGGCACACTTGGAAGGGCTTTGTGAGTAATGGTACATTAAGAGATGGGCTCAGTCGTTGTATACAACGGTATGGAAATGAGAGACTGAGCAATTAGACATGGATGTTTGACGAAGTCAGGCACAAAGGGCATGGTGGGATTAGTGTGGATGGCCCTTCATTGGGACGTTGTGAGCACTCTACCAGCGAGTTCCTGTCCTGCTAGACAGATCTATTGAAAACGATAACTCCTGCCAATATATTTTTAATTCACACGTCATTTTCAAACATCAGGTGATTAGATCATTTGCACAGAAGTGTTTGCTTAGCTAGATAATTAACGAGAGATTTATTAACTTTCCATCTTACTATTGTATGTTCAACTTGGATAATTTGTATATACAGATAACAATCATTTCTAGCTATCTAAATTTTTAAAGTTGAAAGAAAATAAACAAAACCACTGTTATGTCATGTTCTTAGGTAACCATTCAAGTCATGATATCATCATAGAACATTTATTTAAACAAGTACATCTAAAAACAAATTATAACACTTTTAAAAACTCACACAAAAATGATGTGTAATATTCTTAAATTGGGCCGAAAAAAATATTCTATTGAAATGTCATTAATATTAACAATTTCCAAGATACTATGCCTAAGGCTTTATTTCTCTGAAATCAGGTTGTAAAAATATGAGTGAGGAAGCCTCTGAGTTGTTTAGTTTTTATCTGGAAACCTAACATCTGAGATGCACAAAGAACAAGGCATACAAAATTGGCAAATGACTTTTTCATCTTCTATGAATTTATTCTTCCAAAATTGAACATGCTTCCCCCGGCTCCCCACTTTCTCTTACTGTTTTTTAGACCCTAGTTTCTCCTGATTGAGTGAACCTACTCAAGATGACATCAGGTAGGAATGATTATTTAACTGACAGTTATTAATTAGCAACACTTGTAAATAGTTATTAGGGTGTGCTGCTTTGTTCCTTTAATATGTCAATAATATAAGTAAAAGAAAGAAGGAAAAGGAGGAAATAGAAAAAAAAGTCTAAGTAGAAGATTAGTAACTTAACCAATAGAGTTTAGTTGAGTGCATACTTAAACTTCATAGTGAAAAAAGCACTCTTTTGGTAAATTTTAATTATATTAAAATGTTGCTTAGTTCAATAACCTAGTTTTAGTCTACTGTTTGTTCTTTCATGAAATGGGTCTGGGTGTCTATTCTTTTTTTAATATATTTTTATTGACGTCAGAGAGGAAGGGAGGGGGGAGAGAAGTAGAAATATCAGTGATAAGAGTCATTGACTGGCTGCCTCCTGCACAACTCGTATGGGGGATCAAGCCCACAACCTGGGCATGTGCCGTGACAGGGAATCGAACCGGGACCTCCTGGTTCATAGGTTGATGCTCAACCACTGAGCCATGCCAGCTGGGCCTGGGTAGCTATTGAAATAAATCTTATGATTCATTTCGTATGAATATGTTTCCTCCTGGGAACAGAAGGTAGAAAAGGGGTTGGGAATAGGTGTTTTAAATTTATTAAAATATGCATTTTACTTCCTAAATATTCTATTCATCCAGTTTTAGTTTTGGATAAATTTAGATTTCTATGTGGCCTTGGTCTGTACTGTCGGCCCAGAGTGAACGGGAAGAGATGAAAAGGAAGGCAAACTCCTGGAATTCTAAGGCTTGTTTTATTTTTTAGCAGTTTCACAATATAGTGTCAGGTTGTTCATTGATTGCCATAAATTTAGATTCTTTCTCCAAACTGCTATCTATCTATCTATCTATCTATCTATCTATCTATCTATCTATCTATCATCTATCTATCTCTATTATATAATATATCTATTATACTACCTATATATTGTAAAATATACTGCAAATTTCATAATTTAGCTGATAATTACAGAATCATATAGTAACAAAAGGGACATTTTTAAACTGGGTTCCATGAAGCTTGAGGTTCTTCGGTGAGGCATGAGGAGGAGGCTAGTAGAAAGATGCATCTCTGTTTTTAAAAGAGTTTACTTTTATCTGTTTTATGAATTGAAATTGTATGAGAAAAAATTGTAATGGATTTTAGAGCTTAAAAAAGACAAACGAGCTCCAGCACCAGGCCCACAGCCCACACTGAGCTCTGTTCCCTGGGTTCTATCTCAGCTCTTCTCTCTGTGCACTGCCTGCTTACCACACACTTTGGGGCGCACATTGAAAATCCTAATAATTTGGGCCACAGCGACACTTCAGTTGGTGCCATTACTCAACACATTCTGTATTCTTATATGAAAGTTCAAAGCTTAATGCTCTTGAAAATAATTTATCTGAGTTGATCTTTTCTGCAGTTAAAAAAACACACACAAAAAACCTGGGTTAGTAAAAAAGAAACTGTACTAGTAATTGAGACATCGGGTTATGTTCCAGCTTTAATGGTTTTATGAACTAAGCCTCAATTTCTTGCTAATAAAATTGTCATGTCTTCTTTATAAAGAATCATGTTGCTATTATCGATGTCAAAATGTTAAACGAAATAATGCATGGAATATATGTGAAAGTGCTTTGCAAAGTGGAAGTAAAGGTATATATATTTCTTTCCACTATAATCAATTATAAAATAAAATAAAAATTTTAAATGTGATCAAATGCAAAAACAGGCATTAGTGGATATTACTTCTGTATAAGAGACACATTTAAAATATTTCACTTTTCTTTTTTTTACTAAGGCATTTCAATTGTAAGCGTTTGGGCAATTTGTATCTACCTTTTAGAATATGAGCTTCCCTTACAAAACTCCCATAGATTAAAGCATATGAAAAATTCATCATTTGGTCTCTGACTTATAAAAGTGGCAGTTTTATATATTTCAACCTAATAATTCACCTTTTCATTTCTAGCACAGTATCTGACATCCAGTAGATGTTAAAAATTATTAAACTCAACTATTGAACAAAATTTAGAAATAAAGGCTCTTTCCAAATAATTATTTTTCAGCAAGAAGTAATAGGTAAACGTGTTAGAAGTAAGAAAAATCAAATTACCAATGATTCACTCTCTTTTTTTTCCCCCTCCAGGTTTTTGGGATAGATATATGGGAATAAAAGATGGAACTGTAACCTGACTGTGGATTTCTAAGGAAGATTCAACACACAGAGGAAAAAATAAACTAGTGGATAGCCTTCAGGAACGATGTCCTTTTGCCATAATGTAGTTAATATTTCCTGTGTGAACAGCAGCTGGTCAAATGATGTCCGTGCTTCCCTATATAGTTTAATGGTGCCCATCATTCTGACCACAGTGGCTGGCAATCTGATAGTTATTATTTCCATCTCACACTTCAAGCAACTTCATACCCCAACTAATTGGCTCATTCATTCCATGGCCACGGTGGACTTCCTGCTGGGGTGCTTGGTCATGCCTTACAGCATGGTGAGGTCTGTTGAGCACTGCTGGCCTTTTGGAGAAGTCTTCTGTAAGATTCACACCAGCACTGATATCATGCTCAGCTCAGCATCCATTTTCCACTTGTCCTTCATTTCCATTGACCGATACTATGCTGTGTGTGACCCGTTGAGATACAAAGCCAAGATCAGTATCTTGGTTATTTTTGTGATGATCACCATCAGCTGGGGCATCCCTGCTCTTTTCGCATTTGGAATGATCTTTCTGGGGCTGAACTTCAAAGGCGCTGAGCAGATGTATTACAAACACGCTCATGGTTCAGGGGCCTGTTCTGTCTTCTTTAGCAAGACACCCGGGGTCCTGGCCTTTATGACTTCTTTCTATATACCTGCATCTATTATGTTGTATGTCTATTATAGAATATATCTCATAGCTAGAGGGCAGGCAAGGTCGATTAACAATGCAAATCAGCAGCTTCAAATTGGATTGGAAGAGAAAAACGGAATTTCACGGAACAAAGAACGAAAAGCTGCAAAGACTTTAGGGATTGTGATGGGGGTTTTCCTCATATGCTGGTGTCCTTTCTTTGTCTGCACAGTCATGGACCCTTTCCTGGACTATACTATCCCACCCCCCTTGAATGATGCATTGATTTGGTTTGGCTACTTGAACTCTACTTTTAATCCAATGATTTATGCATTTTTCTATCCCTGGTTCAGAAGAGCGTTGAAGATGATTCTATTTGGTAAAATTTTCCAAAAAGATTCATCTAGGTGTCAATTATTTTTAGAATCAAATCCATAGAATTACAATACCTTACTGTTTTGCAAAACAGCTGGTGGTGATATTTATGAACACAGCGTAATCAACTACATGCATCAACTGCGTGGTCTTTAAGTCAGTTACTTGATTTAAAGAATGTATAATGAGACAGGATGATTATATCTTGCTTCCTACTTGGGATGTAGTACATATGATCTTTGCCATTCTTACCATACATATGAAGCTTTGCAAGTCCAGAATGTAAGGTACTACATTTAAAAAAACTTTTCCTGTTTTTTTCAGGTACCACCATGGATTTGAAAGTGGTCCTCTACTCAGTTATTCAGTGGTAGAAACCATAGGCTGCATTGGAAATGCAAATTAGAGTACTTTGTCATATATTTGCTTGAATATGTATGGTTGTGTTGGTGTTATTGTTGTTTTTTGGTAAAATTACACATAAATGTTATCTTTAAATAATTATTTATATAGCTTTGCTTGTTATATGTACTTTGTTGTTGTTTTTTGGTAAAATTAATTAATTTTAGCTGATTTGTAATCAGCTAAAATTACACATAAATGTTATTTATTAAATAATTATTTATATATACTTTGCTTTTTACCACAAATCCTTATTTATATATATTCTAATTATTTTTTACGTTTATTTTTTTACTGTTTGTATTATAATTTTTAAATATCTCCATTTTCATCTTTTGAATATAGGTATTCCTAATTCTCATACTTGTAGGAAATTTGCAAAATGAAGAAAAAATATCATAAAGCAACATAGGAAGAAAAATATCACTTATAGCTCACTTCCTGAAATAACTATATCATTTAAAATTCTTAAAAACATCATTTTTGAGTGATTATATATTTCATTGTATGAATGTACAATGATATCTTTTAACTATTTCCCTTTTATTGACCACATAGGTTTTTTTAAAATTCCTTTTATTAAAAAATAGAAACTAAATTAGTTTCTGCCTGTTACCTGCTATTGAAGTTCATGAAAGTATCTGGAAGGATTTTAACCATATTTCAAGATTATTCTTGGTACGTAGGACTCAAAATGTACGCTAGATGAAGTAAAACACATTCACTTGCTGGGCTCGAGGCTGCACCAAAAGAGAGGCTGTCATCCATCAGAGCAGTGAAGCCGGAGGGATAACGAAAGGCATCATCAGAGCAGACAGGCCACGCCCATCAGGAGGGCTATACAAAGAGAGGGACCAGTGGTGGTTTCAAATAAGATCCCCGGAAAGGAAGTGAGCAAACATTCTAAATGACCCCACTGAGCTGTTTCTCACTCAGACGTCTCACGGTCTCTTTCTTGCTGGTAGCACCAGCGGCTTGGATTTAGCTATTTACTAATAGTGACTTATGCTGCTGAGTAAGTTCGAATAAGGCAGCTAATTTTGAATGAAACGAAAGTTCCTGCATGTAAATTTCTGTTCACAAACCTGATGACCTGAGAACCTGTCAAATCCTTTCATCTATTACAGTCTGTTTCAGGACTATTTTTTTTTCCCGTTGATCTGACTAGATTTTTGTTCTAGTCCATTTAAAAAACATTATGAGGCATCTTTTCATTTAGTGTAGAGTAAGGCAAGTTGCCTCTAATCATTCCCAGCTTCAAAAACTCCCTTGACTTTTGTTTACCTGTGAGACCATTTTGCCAAATTTAAAAAAGAGAATAAAAGCATTTAGACTTTTTCTGTACCTTACAGCAAGTTTCTGTGGTGTTCTTCATTTGTATCCACACATTTAAGATTATTCCTAGGTGTTTTGTACCTTTGGGTTGTGTGTTCTGTCTATGGTGAATGAATCTTTTTAAGCCATTATATTTTCTATGTAACCATTAGCGTTGGCATACAGTAAAAATTTATTTTTGCTTTTTCAGTTGACTTGTTTGGGTTTTCATGAGACTTAGTCATATTATCCTCAAGCAACTTTAGCTTTATCTCCTTTCTAATAATTATGATTCTTATTTATATTTCTTGATGTACTTTATTAGCCAGAAATTTCTAGAGCAATAGTGATAGCAGTCATCCTGAGTTACATTTATTTTAAATTACTCTCTAGGCTTTAATATTGAATCCTCATTTTTCTTTGGATAAATTCATGACTCAGATAATTCTACCTATTTTATTTAGCACTAAAGCCCTTATAGCCTGTTTTTGTAGCCTGTTTTTCTTTAATGCTTATAGTAAGAGATAACCCATAACCCACCCTTTCAGCAAAACAAAAAGAAAGACTTACCTTGTTACCATATTCCCAGCTTTACTCTAGCTTCCATTCGCTCATGCAGAGGTATTTTTGTCCTTTGATTGTCTAGAGTCCATTTCCTATCTGTAATCCTTTTCAGCTAGACATAGTCTATTGAGAAATTTCTCATTTCAACTAGATATAGTCTGTTGGAACTGTAATGAGAAGACTGGCTCCCTGCTCTTCCCCTTAGCTAAACAGATGGGTGAATAACACAAGCTAAAAATTTCTTTAGAATTTAAACATTTAGCAGAGGGGAAAAGACAGTGATCTTTAGCAGAATAGTTAGCAGAAAACAATGAAGATATGTGGGTTTCCATTCCATCCATGTGTAAGACTATGACCAGACTGCTCTTGGTGTTGTCATGGTTCTTGCTTCTCAGACTCCAGAGCTGCCTGTCTGTCCATTTCGAAACTTAGTTCTTCAGTTTCTAATGAAGCCCAGATAGTCTTCTCAGAAGTACCCTTTGAGAATAGCTTTTGATTGCATCCACAGAAAGAACCTTAGCTTGATATACTTTATTCTGTTAAAGACAGTAAATTCGACAATGTAACATTCCTTCCCCAAGTTCAGACAACTTCCCATCTAAACAGCCTCATTATTTCCCACTCTTCTCTCAAAGAGGAGTATTCATATAAACTTCATGTAAACTTTCCAGGAAGAGATACAAATAAAAGTCCTAGCAAGGAAGTTAGAACTGACTTATTGTTCATAAAAATAATACCCTGGAAGTTCCATCCTAATTTTAAACTGGGTTCTCGAAGGCAATAATCTAGTCTTTGTAGTCATATTTGTCAAGGAAGTGGGGCAAACCGTATGAACTCCAGTTCATTGTGGATTCTGGTGAGTCACAGTTTGTTTAGTTGTACATCATCAACAAGAGCTTGAACTTTAACTTAAATGTATAAAGATACCCGGAGAACGGTTAGTATTTTTAAATTTAGTAGACTATGAAGTGTACCAACAAAATTATTATTGAGAGATATTTTGAATGCTGCATTAAAATAATCTACATAATAAAATAATCAGGTTAAGCTAAAGCATGTATGCATTTTCCACAGTCTTTCAATGTAGGTGCTTGAGTACATTAGTACATGGCCGACTGTAAAAAAGTATTCAAAGGAAGCAAATTTGTTTTTGATGGGCCCTGGTCTTTTTTTCTCATGTCCTAAAGCTCGTCCTCCTAAAACCCCTTGCCCAGTTTCTAAGCTCCCAGTGACTTTATGCTGGTCCAACATTCTAATTTGGTTACAGTGTTTCATTGGGGTGGTTCTACTGTGAAGTCTTATCAACTTCAGCATCTAATTGGTTTCTGTCTTTGATTTTCTTCAGGAAAAAGAAATCATTGGCTCATACAAATTAAATTTATTAGCCTATGTATTAATTAAAGTGACTTGGAAGCTTAAAGTTATGCCATTCACAATGTTCTCAATGGCAAACTTTCCTTTTCGTTAACCTATAAGTCAGATAAATAATCACTGAGATGATAAGTTGTAAAATTTGTTTATTGGTCAACATTTTCACACTGTGATGTGTTAAAGTAGCATTTCCCAACTCTGGGCTACTGCTGAGGAGCTATGGTATTAGTATAAATAATGTGGTCCTAGCCAGTTTGGCTCAGTGGAAAGAGCGTTGGCCTGTGGACTAAAGGGTCCTGAGTTCAATTCCAGTCAAAGGCACATGCCCAGATTGCAGGCTCGATCCCCAGTGGAGGGCATGCAGGAGGCAGCCAATCAATGATTCTCTCTCATCATTGATGTTTCTCTCTCTCTCTCTCTCCCTTCCTCTCTGAAATCAATATTTAAAAAAATTAAAAAAAGAATGTGGATACTCAGGCCCTATGTCAAGAAGATGATCTGTGGTGAAAAGAGCAAACTTGGGAGCCAGATGCCAATGGGTTTAAATTCTGACTCCAATATTTATTAGTTCTTATTTGAACACAGTTACTTAAAAAATCTAAACCTTAATTTACTTACCTCCAAGATGAGGACAATAATATCACCTACTTCACTGGACTGTTGATTATTAGTATGGGGCCTTGCACATAAAGCACTCAGCACACATACAGTATTAGCGCTGTTTTCTGTCATTTTATTGATAAGTGCTATGTTGATGCTCACTCAGCATATGCTAAGGTAGCATACACAAAGAAATTGAAATAGGCAAACATTACATTTTCTTTTAAAAGTTAGGGTAGAATTACATCATCCTCTTTCCTAGTAAGTTTCACAGTTACAATTTTGCAAAAGAACAGCAGAAGATTTACTCAAGGTCTACACAGAAGAGAGTTAACCTGTCTAGCCCGTCTGGCTCAGTGGTTGAGCATCAACTTATGAACCAGGAGGTCAAGGCTCCATTCCCTGTCAGGGGCTTGATCCCCAGCAGGGGGTGTGCAGGAGGCAGCAGGTCGATGATTCTCTTATTGTTGTTTCTCTCTCTCTCTCTCTCTCTCTCTCTCTCTCTCTCTCTCTCTTTCTCTCTCTCTCTCCCCCCTCTCTCCCTCTCTCCCTTTCTCTGAAATCTATAAAAACACATTTAAAAAAGTAAATAAGTAAGCAGAAGGGAGTTAACCTGATGACACATTTTTGCACTGTTAGTCTGCCATGTGTCAGCGTTTGGCATATAGTGTGTTTAAGAGACTGGGAATTTTTATTTCTTTAAAAATAATTTATATAAAATCACTATATATTTACATACACATATATAATATTGCTATTTATCTGCAAAGTGACTTCTCTGCCTGTCTAATGAATTTGATGAACACTCTGTGGAAGGCCTAAAGCACGTTAGCATAGAGACCTGAGGCACCAGGGACGGCCTCAGGCTTCGGCCACACAAGCCTCACACACAGCCCCGTTCACATCCCAGCATTCTGTAGTTCCTGTGTTTTCCCTCCTTTGTCCTTTGTTCCGCAGCCCCCAGTCCCTGCAATGCCTCCTCTCCCACTCTACCTCCCTTAACTGGCTGCCATTTACTCACTTTAGATTCATCTTGACAGTTATGACCTCTCCAGGAATTTCTCTATAATCCCCTTAGACCAGGTAGGTGTCTTCCTCTGACTTCCCAAAATATCCCTGCACTTCTTGTCACTGCACTTCTGGTTATGTTAACGTGCCCACTGTCCCCCTGGGCTGCAAACGGCAGAGGTTAGGCACTGTGTTTTATTCCTCGTACCCCGTGCTTGCACACCCCTGGCACAGAGAAGCCACTGGATGGATGTTTTGTAAGGAAATAAATCAATAAGGAATAATAAGGTGTCCAGGGGAAGCGAGACTTGAGACCAAGTCTGTCTGGCTACAAACTCTACCCTCCTTCCTATTTCTGGAAGTGGGGCCAACTATGGGATTATAGTTTCATCTCCAGCCACGTTGAAGCAGATGTGCCTATATGGGCTGAATTTTGGCAATAAACATGCATTTTTTATGAATACGTACATATGTAGGATGTTTTGCTTCTCTTGCATCAGCTAAAGTTTTCTTTCTTAGATTTACACTTTGCCTTTGCTTAATAGCCCAAGAATTCCCCAAACATTTGGTTCCTCAAATAAAGTTTTGTGATAAATGTTTTCCTATCTCCACTAAGTAAAACTGCTTCCCCAGTGACTTATAGTGTGACATGATTTCCCATCATGACCAGCACGGAAAGGAACAGCAGATGTGTTAATGATGCCCTCTGGTCTCTATTTACTCAGAAGTTGGGCAAATGAAAGCAAAGTGAGAGAAATGGTGATTATACTTGTCTCTTTGGACTGTGGCTCAAATTGCAGCTTCAAAGTGTCAAACTATAAATGAAGTGTGGTGGGTGTTGGTAAATATCCAATCAACACATTTAATTACTGTTATTAGCAATTCTCACTAGACTTTACTTTTAACAAACACAAGAGCTTGCAAACAGTGATATCATATACTTCAAATGTGTTGATAACTTTATTTTCAAATGTCTAAGGGTTTTTAGCTCATTGATAGATTCTCCTGAGAAAGGCAAATGACAAAAGTTTGGAGAACAAACTAAAACACAGATCATCCATTGGTTTGCCTTCCGCGGTTCATAGGACAAGGAATAATAAATAAAGCACACAAAAAGAAAACATCGTAGTACATTTTTCTACTACATGGTAGACTAGACTACCACAATACTAAATTTGAATAAGTACAGCTAGATAGCTGGGCTAGTTCTATGTAAAAAAAGCAGAGTGAAAAATAATGGTCATTACCTGGGTAATTAAGTCATTTAAATTCCCTTTTTCATCACTACTGTTACCTTGATCAAATAAGACCACAAACAAAGGAAAAGAGAATCATTGCTTGCAATGTACTGGCAAACATATTGGCCTAAGTTCATATTCAAATGCTGGTGATTATTAACTCTTTAGCAATGTTCAAAAGCTGAAAGCAGTTTATTAAACCTCTTTAAAGTTCAGTTTCCTTATTTGTACAATGGGTAATGAGTAACTTTCAGGGTTGTGGTGAAAATTTATTCATTAAGTAATTTATTCACATAAAATATTTATTGAATGTCTATTATATATCATCATTGTGTTAACTAGATGCTAAAGATACAGATGTGAACAAGATCCACATGTTCTACATCCTTCATGGAATTTTCATGGAAATGAAATGAGGTTTGTTTCTTTTTATTTTTATTATTATTATTATTTTAATTTCTTTATTGGTTAAGGTATTACAAATGTGTCCTCATTTCCCATTAACCCCCAACCTCCCCCCTCCCCCCGCTCATGCTCTCATCCCCCTGTTGTCCATGTCCATTGGTTTGGCTTATATATGCCCTTGACCAGAATTGAACCCGGGACCCTTCAGTCCAAAGGCCAATGCTCTAGCCACTGAGCAAAACTGGCTAAGGCTGAAATGAAGTTTTTGGAAGTGAAATGAGATAATATTTGTCAAGGGTTTGCATAATGTACAGTAGATAGTTCATAGCACATGGTCAATAAGTTAGAGTTATTATTATTGTTATTTTTTACAATTCACTTGGTCATTGTCAATCTTGCTCACAATTGCAGAGATAGAATTAAAAAGATATACTGGCTGGAGGACTTAAGAAGCACAAATTGGTAGTTACAAAATAGCCACAGTGATAGTACAGCACAGAGAATATAGTCAATAATATTGTGATAACTATGTATGGTGCCAGTTGGGTACTGGGAAAACCATGAGAAGTATATGATTGTCTAACCACTAAGCTGTATACCTGAAACCAATGCAAAACAATATTGAAAGTAAATTGTATATAAGTAAATAAAGGTCTTTCTGCTGTTGAATAGCCTTACATGGTTTCGTAGTACCTTTTGTATTAGTTAGCATTAAAGACATTCTGTGATCTGTCCTGCCTACTTTTCTATCTATATCTCCTACTTTTTTCTTATTAGTTTACTAGAGGCCTGGTGCACAAAATTCATGCATGGGGAGAGTGGGGGTCCCCTCAGCCCAGCCTGCACCCTCTCCAATCTGGGACCCCTTGGGTGATGTCCGACTGCTGGTTTAGGCCTAACTGGCTCCTAACCGCTCACCTGCCTGCCTGACTGATCACCCCTAACCACTCTGCCTGTCTGCCTGATTGCTCCTAACTGCTCTCCCCTGCCGGCCTGATCGCCCCTAACCGTCTCTGCCTCTGCCCCCACCACTGTGGCTTTGTCTGGAAGGACGACTGGAAAATGTCTGGTCGACCTGGTCTAATTAGCATATTACCCTTTTTAGTATAGATTTTCTTTCAGCCACATGAAGTTACCTAAATTTCCTGAAAACTCTGCATCTTTTCAAAACTCCCAGCCTTTGAACACCTGATGGCTGCTGTTCAAAATGCCCTTCATCAATTTGTTTACGTAGTTGTTCTTGGAGCCTTACCCTCAGCATCACTCTTTTCTGAAGCTTGTCCTCCTCAGGGCCATGTAGTGCTTCCTTCTCTGACCCCCAAAAGCAATCCAGACATGGTTCTATTGATAGCAATGTGATTAGCTAGCTATTAATAATAGGAAAGGAGCAAAGGGAAGGCCAGATATTGTAGGCATGTCAAGGGCAGGGTCAGCAGGAAGCTGCAACCTTGCACTCCCCAGGGAACCACTGGCCTGTTCCCTGCAAAACACTGGGGGAAGGGATCCAACAAAAGGAAGATAGCCACATGCCCAGTAAAGTTGGGGTGACATAAGGAAGGTAATTGTCCGTCAGTCAAACCTGGGGAGAGAGATCATTGATTGGCCAGAATGGGCATGGCCATTGCAAGCATGTGAAAATTTGGGAATACATCATCTTCTAAACAGAGGAGTTTGCAGAGGAGTTTGCTCTTTTGTTGCTCTTGGCTTATGACTCTTGGCTAAGGACCCTTGTTTCCTTCATAGCCATGAGGCCCTGTGGACCCTACTTGCAATGGGCTAATGGACTGCAGTGCGGACACAAGTTAAGCTGGATGGATGCTGGATTGGGCGCGGCTCCAATATGGGAAGGAAACTCTCAACACGGACTCTGATTTGAGCCCTACTGAAGCCCCAGCTACACATCTTCTATGACTGGATGGAGGGAAATGAGACTTTGGAAACCAGGGGTGTAATTCCACAGAAATAAAGCTTCCTACCATATCTCATCCTCTCGTGTGAATCTCAGAAAATTCTTTTTCTTGGGATAACACAAGAAATCCACCCCCACTAACTGGGGGAGAAGAGGCCTTCTCCCCTCCATTACCACTTCCAGATTTAACTATTGTCAACTATTAGCATAAACTGTCGTCAACTTAGTTCACAGCCATGGGTGTTGATTATGTTAAAACAAGCAAAGCAAGCAAGTCATGTGGGGCATGATTGTGATTAATTCAAGTTCTACACACCTGGGTCCCGTTAGAAAATGTGAAAACTTGTGTAGTGATGTATCCCTTTGCTCCAGCTTGAGATACAAAATAAGATCACATCTCTTTGTATTATTTAAATTAGTTAGCCAGCTTTCCCATTTGCCTTTGGGTCTTTTATTCTCTGGGGACTGAATCCAAAGATTCATTTATCTTAAACTGCCATAAGGTGTCACTGTTCAAGCTAGAAGATGATGTCATTCCATCCACAATATGCGGGGGTAGTGGCCTGGGAGAGGAAGCTACAATCCTAAGGTCTTAGGAAGAAGAGGATGAGCCGCACTCATTGCACTCACCTGAGAGCTCTCACTTCCAGATCTTGCCCTCAGGTTAGAGAGGCCCGTTCAGAAGAACCAGCTCAGCCGGTTTTCAAGGCTCAGCCACATATTGTTTCCAGGATCTGGGTTTGACTCTGCACCACCAGTCCTCTGCCTTCCCTCAGGGTCAGTCCCAGTCAAGAAAGCCCTCATGCTTTTTCTGGCCAGCTGGCCTAAAATGGTATTAGTTTGCCAGATGTACTCACATAGCAGCGCAAAAGGAAGAGGACAAGACTGATTGCTTTGCTCCAGGCTGGCTCCTTAACTCTTTAAAAAAAACAATTGAAGTTCTAACCTCCCCCTGACACTTATCTGTCATCTACATAATTAAAAGAGAAATGTTAAGTAGTTCTTAGAACTCAGAGGGTTTATTCAAAATGACTTACTGTCTCCTCTAGCAGAGATAGAAGTTACTGGCAACTTTGGAGTAGTAACATCTTCTGCTTTTAAAGAAATTAAGTTCTACCTCTTGGCAAACAATTGCGCTAATATTTGTAAAGCTGTATTTTATTTATTTTACTTTTAAAAATGTATTTGTATTGATTTTAGAGAGGAAGGGAGAGGGAGAGAGAGATTAAAATATCAATGATGAGAGAGAATCATTCATTGGCATGCCCCCTACTGGGGATTGAGCTCACAACCCGGGCATTTGCCCTTGACCTGAATCAAATCTGGGACCCGAAGGCCGATGCTCTATCCACTGAGCCAAACCGGCTAGAGCTGTAAAGCTTTCTTTGAAAATATGTTCACATTCATTTTCTCATCATAACATAACACAAATATGAATATGTCCTGAAATGAAAAGAGCTTCTTCTTTTTTCTTTTTTTTTTAGTTACTCTTTGTCAGAACTTCAAAAAGAGCTCCCAAGAAAGATTGAGCCAGGACCAGCTACATAATTTGTGAGGCCCATTGCAAAACGAAAATTCAGAGTCGTTTGTTAAAAAATTATTAAGAATTTCAAGAAGGTTGCTGCAAAGCATTACACCAAGCGCTGGCCCATTGGCGTTCAGGTCCCGTGTGACTGCAAACATTGCACACCCAAGGTGCAGCCCTGAGCCAAGCCAATTGAGGTCACACAGAGTTGGTATAATTATAATTCAAGCATGACCCCGATGTCTTCTAGTGACCAGGATTATATTTTATCTACATCTGGGGTATGTTGCTTTCCAAGGCTGTCTCATCAGTGCAGAATAAACCTTCATATTTTAAAAGAAAACAAACAAGAAGTAGAGCCTTTAACACACGAGTGGATTTAAGCCAGTAGCATCTGAGAAGATTTTGGCATCATCATGTGAGCTCCTTAAAGAGATAATAATCATGCCCCCTTCTTCCTGGTCTAAGAGGAATGGTTCGACTTATTCTTTTAGTCAGATTTTACAAAGGAAAAAAGAAAACCAATTGTGGTAAGGCCTCTTTTCAGTGACTAGAATTCAAAACAAAACATGGGCTGTGACAGTCTCCGATTTTCCTAAGAGGTGGAAGGCACATATCCAGTTTTCTACCTGAGCCTCTGATCCCACTCAGTGTGGTTGGGATCATCTCCTTGGGGCCACCCGTAGCTCAGTGGTTCTGTTATGCCCAGATTTCAAGATCCCAAAGACCACACCAGGGAGCCGTGTCCGATGCAAAAGCAAAGAGCCTTTATTCAAGCCCGAGCTCAGTCCCTCTGCCTCTACCGACGCAGCGGCAGGATGCGAGAGAGCCCCTAGTCTCAAGAGAACAAAGGTTTTATAGGGCTTGGGGTCGGGAGGTGGGGGCATACTTCTACTTGGTTGGGTGAGGGCTAGGGGCTAGTGACGCAAAGGCAGGGTGTGGCTAGGGTCTGGTTACACAAAGACAGGGGGTGGTCAGCATACTTTTGGCCTTGGGTTAGTTCCCCTTGCATTCCCATTGGCTGATTTAAAAGGGGGCTGGGTAACTGACACATTCTGTGGTTTGTTTCTTGGAAGAGGGGTTAGGGACACAGCTATCAGTCCCGTTCTGTCCTTTCAGTTCCGGGTTGCTTTGCAGTTGGTATATAATAGACTTAGAGCCTTCCGTGTTGCAGATGATGTAATCTCAGGTAAGCAGAGACCCCTGAGAGGATGGAGTGGTTTAGGCTCATTAAGCTGTTCAAATTTAGAAAGGCAGGGTTTATTTTTGCTTTAAAATAAACAACAACAGACACTTTCAGACCCAATTCCCTTGAGGCTAATTGTTAAGTTATTGAATAGTACCCGTCACATAGTTCAGCTTTTCTAGTTCTATATAAGCAGTCAGAGCAGTTCGAAAGTTCCATCAGGAAGGAGTTTAACAATGGCATCGCCCACAATGCAACAGGTATGTGGAGAAGGGATTAACAAGACAGATCTGTGTCTTCTCTTCCTTGAGGTTTTCTTAAGTAAATTGTCACCCTGATAATGCAGTTGCATTACTGGTCCATTGATTTCTCTTCCTTTTTTTTTGCATTTGGTTCATGTGCAGAGAGAGTGTGTAGGAGTGTGGAAGTTTATGAGTGCAGGATTTAATATGAATTTGTAGTAAAAGGCAGAGTCTTCTAAATATGTGAATGGGACCATGTGCTGCTTTTGGGCACTGCACCATGTTTCCTGGGAAGAAGAGTTAGGCTCCTGAAACGGGTTACCTCTTCCCAAGGGGCTGAGCGAAGTATTTATCGCTGGTGTTTATGTAAGTGAAGCAGGAGGGTAAGTTAGCTATCTGGGCCTTTTTTGCATACAATCCCATGCCTTTACTTTCTTAGGAGAAATCTTTTCCTCGTCAAATGTATTATTGAATGTGGTGTCCACCCTAACAAGGAAGGGAGGAAGGATGAGAGGAAAATCACCTTTGAAGGAGCTCATTATGTATCAGGCATTGTGCTAAGCCTGTTCATATGTATTATTTAATATATTAAGATTCATTAACCTTCAATATTTAATAGACACTGAACAACTGAAAGAAATCAGCAGCTTGGGTAAGAAAAAAAACTCAAGGAAAATAGAAAGAATGACTAGCAGGGAGAAAAAAGACTTTTAAAAGTCCCTTAGAAGTTTAAAAAGTGGTTGCTAAAGCAGAGGACTATTTAATATGGAAGCACTTACCAAATTTAATGACAAGGTAAAAAGAAATGAGATTATATTAGAAAAATTAGAAGATGCTTTATTACCATGATCATGGTCCTAAAAATTAATTACTTTCTTAGGGATTGCAGAAGACACTTTTATTTATTTATTAAATATATTTTTATTGATTTCAGAGAGGAAGAGAGAGGGAAAGAGAGACAGAGATAGAAACACCAATGATGAGAATCATTGATCAGCTGCCTCCTGCACACCCCCTACTGGGGATTGAGCCCGCAACCCAGGCATGTGCCCTTGACCGGAATCAAACCAGGGACCCTTCAGTCTGTAGGCTGACATTCTATCGACTGAGACAAACCAGCTAAGGTGACACTTTTATTTTAATAATTTAGTAGAATAAAGTTTAGATATGGTATTTATTCATAATGGACAAGCAATTTGTTATGTCTCAAATCTTTAATTTTTGTGTTTTTTGTAGAAACATAACAGTAATGGAGAAAAGACCAGATTATTCCATTTAATTTTGTTGCAATACACGTATCTATGTATTTATATTCATAGGTTTAAAAAAATAGGAAAATGATACTTGAAGAATATAGTCTGAAATTATTGTTTTATGCATTTAGCTTTCAGAGACAATCAATCTGAAAGGTGTGAAAGAGATGGTTGTTGAAAGGTTTAAACTGATGATGGATGTCACATGCAAGAAACATGCCAAATGCACTATGGAGAATGATGAATGGAATTTACTTAAAAGCACTGTTTGATGAGCTCACCAAATAGTCATCAATGTGTTTCTACCTGCTTCATAGCAAGAGTATGAGGAATACAAATGTATGCATCGTATCATATGTTTCAAAGAATTTTATTATAGGTCTTAGAGTGGATTGGCTAACTAAAGTTCCCGAATGCTAAAAGGGAAGGGAATCCAGCTCCACATTCTATGATTTGAAGGACTGGTAAGACTTTTCCAGAAGTGGAATGGCAGGGTGATTAATAACATCAGCCACTAAGCCAGACACACAAAGAAGTTTGTAATTAACTATTAAAATGTATTATCGTTGTGAAGTTGCCTTTAGCACAAAATTATTGTGTGTGTGTGCACCATTTTAATTAAAATAAAATTACTTGTTATTTCTCTTAGCTGTTGTTTCCAAGAAGTGAAGTTGATTTAAAAATAAATCAACACAATTTTCTTTGGTTCTCCTATGCTTTTTAAAGAGCATACTGAAGGGGATATGAATCTTCCTTCTCTTTCATAACACTGCATTTTCTCCCAGTATTTTCTTCTGTGGTGATTTTTTTACTGGTCAGCAGGTGACTAACAGAAAATGACAAGCAGCTGAA